CTCTACGTGTGCTATGAACTACAATAAGTTGAATTTGTATAAACTCCACGTGTGCTATGAACTACAATAAGTTGAATTTGTATAAACTCCACGTGTGCTATGAACTACAATAAGTTCAACTTGTACCATAAGCAATAAATTCATTATCTTGAAACGCATGTGAATTGCACGCAAGAAGGCGACTCATTCCTGCTCGCTTTTCTATTTTTCTGCATTGAAGACTGTTTACACCCTTCAAGGTTTACTCATAGGTTGATAACTTTGCACACTTCAGCTGTTGGCGTGCTACTAATTTTGTATTTGTAGATATTGTTACTGGCCTGAAAGAACATTGTATTAGCAGGCATGCAAAGTAGCTGTAAATGATCAACTTAAGATCCGTGATTTAAAAATACCGAGTTTCTCTATCAACAATCAAGCCTTTATTTCACAATCTAAAACTTTCTGAGTTCGTAATAATATAGTTTGTTAAACTGATAGGTACGAACCACTCATTTGGTGAATCAAACGGCATGGTGAGAGCACATTTCATCTGCTTCTAATTATATATAGAGCAATTTGATGCCAAAAGATGAGAATAAAATCCCAGTTAAACAGTATACTACTTTTGTCCATACGCCTCTTAAGGCAAACAAAAATATACTTGAAGCAAAAAAGTCTTGACTCGCATTCATATTGACCCAGAAGATCACAATAACCTGAACACGCAGTCAGAACTTATCCCAGAGCATTTCTCTTCTCTGCAAAGCAAAGAGAGGGCAAAGTGTTCCAGAGTCAAGTCCTATATACGCTTGCTATCTTAAGAAATAAAGGGGGAAAATAATAAAATAGTAAAGAACTTCCATGATAATAGCTATTTAGTCAACCACAATACATCAAATTATATTATAGTAAAACTAGTTAATCGGTCCGAGCTTTGCTAAGATTCGGACCCCAAATTTCTTTTAAACGTTAATTAAAAAAATAAAAAGAATGTGTGAGCATTGCTAAGTCATTTGTATTTATAAGTATTTCTTTTTTGTCATGAATGCTAAATTTAATGTAGATGCTAATCAAGAAACATATATATTAAAGTGACCTATATATTACTACACCATTAAATAGTTTTACTGATGGATTAATTCCATCTATGAAAGGCACATTGTTAGTCAGTAAAATTTTTACCGACGACTTTACTGATGGAACACATCTGTTGGAATATCGATTGTCGGTAATTCCTCGTTTCATCTCTAACTCTGTTGGAAATTAAAAAAAAAAACAAACACCGATGGTTTTATAGACAATAAAGCATGCCAAAAAAAATTCCCGCGAGACCTTTATCGACGGAATATATCCATATGTATTTTCAAACGTAATCACCGATGGAATGGTTGTCGGTGATTGTGGCATGGGATAATTTTTTTGCAACTCTCGGCAAAATATCGACGGCCTTGTTCCGTCTGTAAAGTCATCAATATGCATTTAAAATATTTTAAAAAAAAATTATTAATAGTAAAAAAAAACTAATTAACCAAATAAATAGCCAAAAAATTGTATTAAACATTTAAAATATAAAAATAATGTTAAATAATATTCATCCAAATATTTATTACAAATTTAATGTGTTTGAAAAACAAAATTAAACTACAATAATGACGAAGCTGGAGGAGAAGGAGGCTTATTGTTTCTAGGACCGTTTCTAGGACCGTACAACCA